ACGTTATTAAATTTAATTTTTCGGATTTTTATTTTTTGTCGCAATGTTTGTAAATATCGAAACGTTATCATACATTTTCATCATATCATTTTCTTTAACTTTGATCAAATTTTCGGATTAGAAAAGTATTGCGTTAGTTTGATTGTATGAGGTATTTTGAAATATTGATGTTATTGAGGTTATTTTCAAGTCGATACAAATGTATACTATTTCATGCATATTATCAACATTTAAAAATCTTACTTAGATTGAACTTAATACAGATTTAAGGTTGTATAATAATGTAGTACTTTATAACATTTAAATAACAAAAATTGATTGTTTTATAATATCATTACTACACTTTTTGCTACCATTTCGTGTTTATTAATACTGACAACAATTGTTTTCTTATTTCAGTTTTTCAATTACATAATTCTGTTATATTATAAACTAATTGTGATTTTCACACACAATGAATAAAGAACTTATACAGTTACCAAGTTTATCTCTTCCGTTTTAAGTTTGTGGCCATACACGCTTACAAAGAGTGATTCATGTGACCTATAGATATTTGCTATTTATTTATAATGAAAACATATTCAAAACAAATTTCTCGTTCACTTTAAAGCGTTTTACAGTAACAAAATGTGTAGTATATGACCTTAAAATATCAATAATCTTGTTTTCTATTAAGAAAAAGTTTACTTGCGATTTCTTGCAAGAATACAGGTTTAAACATTAATCTGCAAACATGTACTCACGATGTTGAACTGAATAGAATTCGTATCGAATGAAGAAAAAACTGTAAGATTAAGAATGCAAACGAAGTTTTAAATATTCTTTGCATTTTCATGAATCGACAGCGACACGAAACGTTTTAATAAATTGTAAATAAGAATGTTGATTGATGAATAGGGAGCACGTGGTAAATAATGTTGCTGCACCTGCACGAAATTAATTTTATAATTACATTTTTTTTTTGATCTACGATCGATTGCATCAAGTGCCTCAAGTACCGAGTCTTCTCTCAATCGTTTGTTTTTTTTTATGTAATGAGGACAGGTTAATAATGGATGATGGTAGGCACCAGCTGTATCGCGTTAATTGCAAAACGATATTAAGCATCCCCTATGATAGAAAATACGTAAACAATGTGATCCGGTTTTGGTAGATTATTATTATTGATTTTTTTTTTTCAATATTCCATATGGTTTTTAAAAATAGAATGCCGTTTCCATTGTGGTCGTAAACTTTGGGTAGCTTTGGTCTATTTTTAGATGGGCCTGGTTTTTGGGATCCGGGGGGGAAAAATTTCTAATCGATATAGGAAAACTGATAAGGCAGACGCCGGAGCGATAAAAATATAACTTCCACTTTCATTGCCAATGTGTCCGTTTCGTTTCGTCTCGTTGATATAAGTTTTCTATTGATTTATAATATCTACACGGGATCCGATTGCAACATTCTCCTCGACAGACTGAAAAGAAGAAATCGAACAGTTGCTACCAAAAAATGTTACCGAAATAACTACACCCGTCTAATTATGTTTATGTTGTATTATTTTTAGAAGTTATTAATTTTCGAGTCTATATTTAGTATCCAGATTCACGTGACCGGCCACGATTAATGTTTAATTCATTCTACGTTCTGGACAAAAACAACATTTACATACATCTTACTGAAGCTAGATTCGTTTTTTTTGACTCGTCGAACACATTGCAAATACATATTTCGTGTACATGTGTTTTCGGTACACACACACACAGTTGGCGTTGCGTAAAAATAGTTTGGGGAAATTCTATCAGGTGGCCGATGGAAATAGCTGTTTCGCTTTTGGTTCTTCGGATGTAAAAATAAACATGCGACGCGGTGCGATAAATAAATAAATCTGGATGAGTAGTAGTTTTTGGGATGAGATCTTCCTGCTGACGAGAATAGTCCGGTCGGTGGTAAAAGCCCACCGCGAATCATCGGATGACCAACAATGCTATAATAAATTCAGTTGTTGTATGTATTCGAGTTTATTAATAGACGACTGAAGAATAGTCGATTTATTTTGATCTGGGGAAAGTTAGATTCGTGTACATTGACCAACTCAAATCATTATGTGTGTGTATATAATTCATTAATTTTTTTCACCAGCTCACAGTCAAGGTCGCGCCGTTCCTCCACTTTGATTGTTTCGTATGTGTATTGATTGTTGTTGTAATTATTGTTTTGATCGGACGCTCGGAACTTTGATGTGGCCATTTAACCATAGCGCGTTATTAATTCGTGTATAATAGTGTTCGGCCTTCGAAGTTTTTATTTTTAGATGTTATAATGTTTTTAATAACCTTTTATACACACTTCATTTATTTCGTATGTGGTCCTATCAGTCCACACACTAAAAACGCGATAGTATTTTTATACCAATCCGTTACGTTTTATTACATTAATTTCCTATTTATTTATGAATGTTGGAATTACCATTCATTTTATAAAATCAATATATTTTAAGTATGCTGTAATAGTGCAAATTACAATATCATTCATTACTTGTGTATTTAATTCTACAGTATTAATATGCAATAATTATAATTGAGGTGATTATCAACACCATTAAAATACTAAATCTTTTTTTTAATGGGAATAGTTACTTTTATATCGTAATTTAAATTATTTCAATAATGAAAATATGCTTTATTATTTAAATTTAACTTGATATTTGTAGTTTGATAGTAATATTAATGGTTATGTAAAAATATTCAATTGGTTGCAGGTTTTAAGTACCTTGCAACTATTAAGATGAATTGTTTATGAATATGTTGATTAAATCAAAGGCAAATATGTTTTATAATTATTTATATAATGTGTTGTGTGAAAATGTGATAATTTATATATGTATTTCCTTAAGAAAGAAAACTAGTCGCGCATACGAACAGATTTATTTCAGTAGGTGTCATGTGTTATAAAATGTGCGGAAAACTAAAAATAATATGGTAGAAAATAAAATGTAAGAAGAGAGAGAATGATAGAACGAGCACACACTCACACAAAAAATGGTTACGCCTAACCGGAAAGTACAAAATAATATCATCGTCTAAATTTATCTCTCGACGACTTAAAAATAAAGAAATAAGCATTATAGAAATAGCAATTATTTGCACGAATGGTAATAACACTTTTGCATCATCGCTTGAGCCGAGATGCTTTGTGTGCAACGAGTGTGTGTGTGTGGTATGATTGAAAGTGAAGTTTTAAAAATACCCGTTTAAATAAATCCAAACTGACGCTATTTATAGGCGTCGGCCACATTGATCTAAAGACTAATTTATGTTTTTTTCTTTTGTTAAATACTTATTAATTATGTTCCTATCCTCTTGTTCGTATTTCAATTGCGTTGGGTTTAATGAATGGGAAGATTAAATGCAGCCAGGAGATCTGTATTTTATTAAGAAGATTATAATGTAACTTGCTGTCCGAATGGTCGTGGATCTTTGAAATCACCAACTATTCATCTCTGATTCTCTCTCTCTCTCGTGTAATCAGATGTTTTCTATGTCTCCGTCTGTCTATGCTCAGATGCAATTAGAACAGTTCACTTGACCTATACCAATCGCAGGCTAATTAGAGTGAAGAAGGCAACTCTCCGCCACAGGAAAATAGCCGAATGAAAATGATTCGCGCGCGACTATTTTTACAAGTTTCATAATTAACTGGCATGGGATTCCGGCGAGGCGGCGGCTCCCCAAGCCAAATTTTGGTCTTTGCCAAAGCCGATGAAAATAAAAGTGACGCCCTCGATAAATTTATTATTTTTATTATATGTGTTTATTGCCCGATGAAAATACAAAGAGACTTAAATACTATCAGCGTCTCGGCGTTCAAATGTTTTCATCCAATTTTACTTCGTTCCTCGACCAAAATAAATGTTGCGGTTAGTTGTTGGTAAGGAAATTTGATTAAAAGAAAACAACATGTTTCAACGCTTATCGCAACCTTATTAACCGATGATTATTTCAAGTACAACTAATACAAAATCCATTCATATAAGATTTGTACATTTTCATTTTCTCATTTTATATATTATCTACACTTTACTTATTTCCCCGAGATCCGATTACTTCAAATACATGTTTCAGATTTGTACCATTGGATTTATTAAACACGAACACGAGATTTTTTCTCTCTCAATTGCGTTTCTTGATTACGTTGCATTTGCGAGTAAATTGCACATTTCAATTACTATTTGTGAGAGAAAAAAAATAGCAAGCGGATGTATGGTTGATAAAGCTTTAAGTTGGCATTTAGTAGATATAGTTCTTTTTTCTCCTTTAATTGTTGGATAATTGCGCTGATAAATTATTTGGAGAAATATATGAAATGAATAAGCGGAAATTTTCTTCCAGCTTTGAGTATATGTTACTTATGTTCCCTAGCAACAGATGTTTCCATATAATTCAACACGTATTTGTGTTATGCTACAAATGCAATAAACGATTTCGTTTCGGTGTTTCTGCATTATTGCATATTTTTTTTTTGTATGTTTTTATTTATTTTTGTAATGCGTTTGCAATGAAAAGTTCATCTATTCCTTGCAGAATAAATACGAATATATATATATATAAATATATATAAGAAGGCCATTGGCGAGGCACGTGCCTCCAAAGGTTGGAGCGATATCCAGAAATAGAAATGATATTGATTAACTACCCCTTCCGCCTGTGCTTCACCGCGAACGCCGCCTTCGTCGTAATACTGGCTGCCACCACTTGGCGTTAAGAACATTGAGACCGTCCCTATATGCTCAAGGTCTTCCCCAGATTTCTTTCAACAACCCCTAACCATTTCTATATATAAAATCGAGCTTTACGGAAAATACCTGTAACCCGGGAATTTGGGGAAGATTTAATTTTAACCTAGAGTTTACGTAGCATTGATTTTTTTTGTACATTACATATACGAATTAGTAAATAATTCAGCGCTTTAATTTTGTTTCTTATACTGATTTTTGTTTGTTTGTATGTTATTTGCAGGTCTGAAGGTATGGACACAAGTTCAGATCAATCTCACGCCAACGACTTTCCATTAAGGAAAACAGGTAATCGATTAGTAGCAACTTGTGTTTATTAATGTATATTAATGTAAATATATTTGTAGCGTCCGAGCCAAATCTCTTAAAAGTACGATTGAAACAGCGAGTAATGGAGCGTCGCTCTAGTCCAATGAGTAAACGTCACCTGCCTCCAAGTTTGAAGAAGAAAATTTTGTCATGTCAGCCGCCGAGTGAATCACCCCCACAAGAACCTCCTAAAGAGTTGAGTCCTCCTTGTGAATCTGATGAATATCAGAGACACGCTTTGTTCAGTAGTCCATCGATGCCTAACATTTCGTTGGCGGCTCACCACCTTTCCACTACCGAAGTATCGGAAGCGGCCATGAGGGCAGCATGCACGGCCCGGTTAGGAATGTCGTTAACTGGACAGATGCTGCCGGGCTCGTTGCCATTCTACCCATCATTGCCGGCCATCGAAAGTGAACATGAAGAAGCATCGACATTGGATACTATCAGCGAACTGCAAGAACCAACACCCCGCGGTGTTATTAGGCCTTTGGGTAGGACGCAATCTAGTCCGTTACCATTGAGGCATCCGCTGCTCGATGGAAATCATAAACCCGCCCAACAACCTGCGCCACCTCTGCCCGAGGAACAGGAACAACGTGATATGGAACTTAGAACCAACGAATCAAGAAGGTATTATTATTTTCAAGAATATTTATCTATGATACATTCAAATCATATGATGTATTGATAGTATTGATTGCACATGTTCAGTAGTTAGCAAGAAATGTTACTAAATACAATTTCATTATTGTAGTATTCGTCCTTTATCGAGGGCTTCTAGTAGTCCGGTGGTACATTTGGCAGCTGCAGCTCTGCTGCAAAGACGCCGAGCTTCCTCAACGCCAACAACGGGCTTGGCCTTTGACAACCAAATGCTCAAACACGCTTGTGTGTGTGGTAACAATTCTCAGCATCCAGAACACGCCGGTCGACTCCAGAGCATATGGGCGAGGTTATTGGAAACAGGATTGGTACACCGGTGCGACAGGATTCGGCCTAGGAGGGCGTCGACGCAAGAACTTCAGACGTGTCATTCGGAAGCTCATACCTTGCTGTACGGCACAAGTTCGTTGAATAGGCACAAAATTGATATGAGCAAAATGAGTGCACTTCCTGTGCCGGCTTTCGTGCGGTTAACGTGTGGTGGCATTGGAGTGGATTCCGATACGACATGGAGCGAGTTGTATACGGCACCAGCAGCTCGTATGGCAGTGGGATGCACCGTGGATTTGGCTTTCAGGACTTGGACCGGAGATATACGCAACGGATTTGCAATTGTAAGACCGCCTGGTCATCACGCTGAACCTCAACAGGCAATGGGTTTCTGCTTCTTCAATTCTGTCGCTATTGCTGCGAGATTGTTGCAGAAAGAACATCGCGTTCATAAAATACTCATCTTCGATTGGGACGTGCACCATGGAAATGGAACTCAGGATATATTTTACGATGACCCAAGAGTATTGGTAATTTCAATGCACAGACACGATGACGGCAACTTCTTTCCAGGAACGGGCAATCCCGTCGAATGCGGATCGGGAGCGGGTATCGGTTTTAATGTGAATGTGGCGTGGTCGGGCGGTTTGAATCCGCCGTTAGGGGACTCCGAGTATTTGGCCGCTTTCCGGAGTGTTGTGATGCCAATTGCAAGGGAATTTTCTCCGGACATTGTACTTGTTTCTGCTGGATTCGATGCTGCTGATGGACATGCACCACCATTAGGCGGTTATCGAGTTTCACCTGCTTGTTTTGGATATATGACACGTCAGTTGATGCAGTTAGCACGTGGACGAGTGGTGCTCGCCTTGGAGGGTGGCTACGACTTGCCTTCAATATGTGATTCGGCGGAGGAATGTGTTCGAGTGTTGTTGGGCGATCCTCCGTCTTCTATGCAGCCTGCCGAACTTGCTCGTGCACCCTGCCAGAACGCTGTTATTGCCCTACAAAATGTTATAGCGATTCAATCTAGGCATTGGCCTTGCCTTCACGAAGGGGCTAAGGGAGTGATATGCTCCCACAACGACGTAGTTAGAAATGAGAAGGATGACAAAGACACTGTTTCGGCGATGGCCTCGTTGTCAATGCAACAGTCGCTTGGGTATCCAAGTCCGGACGCTGCAAGACCTAGCTAATAAACATCTCCCTTCTCATATTCTCACTGGCTAAATTGTACATTCCGGCATTTGCTCAACGCGAATGTCCTTTAAATTTTAAGATCAAATTATTATGTGTGTTTTATTTTTGTTAATATATTGAAGTTTTTAAATAAATGAAAACAATTTATTTACTTTTACTGTCCGATTTTCAACGAGGAGAATGGTAAAACATGAATTTTGAAATATATTGATACACATAAATAAATTTATTAAATATAAATAATATACAAATGAATATATAAATGTTTATATTCCCCTACACTCTTAACGGGGAAATACTCAGAATTGTTATAATAAGAAATTTTATATTGTCATTGTTATTATTTTCATTCTTATTTTTTATTATCATATTTATCGCCTTTTTATTATATTTTTTAAATATAAACAGATTATATCATGTTGAATATAAACGAAACGAAAATAATAAATGTGCTTATTAAATGGTTCCTGAAATTCTCAATATCCCTCAAATAAATGTTACATGTACAACGACTCACCCATTTATTACAATTTCAAGCACAGCATTTACATATCTTATTACTTTTTTTTATTGTTTTATTTATATGTTTCATACAAATATTCATTTAATATTATTTATACCTTCTCAATTTCCTACATTTTAATTTGTTTTTTTTTTCCTTCTCTATTTCCTACAATTTCCCATTAATATTATAATTCAGCAACGAATTTGAACAAACAATCATTATAATTTATTGGTCAGAAATATTCACTATAAATAAATTTAAAACTAAAAACTTTAAAAATAAAGAAACAACTCTAAATATAAATAAATAACAAAATGCAAGTTTCAAATTTAAAAAAGATGATACAAACATTTCTGCTCAAACAAATAAATATTTCATAAGACTTGATTATAAAATTTCATTTAATTGTTTAATCAAGGGCATGTAAGTTAGATATATTTGGTACAATTGGTAGACGTCCAAAAATTAGATAACTTGTATTTAGAATTATAAAACTTAGTAAGTTCAGCACTTCGATTACGAAGCTATAATTTTTATATTAATCGGTATGTAAAAATACTATTTTGAACATAGATTTTGTATATTTTTGGGATTATTTTCGGGAAATTCTGTAAGTATTACAATTATATTGAATCATATAATATTAAAACTTGCTAAAATATATTGTTAATAATAATAAGAATATGAATGCAATAACTATACAAGTAAATGAATATTTATAAGAAAACAAGCGAAAATACAGCAGTCAATAGTTTTCAATTATTTTTATCATTAAATATTAATAATTTGATTTTATAAAATGCTATTGATCATTAATTTGTCTACATAAGGAAATTCATATTTTTTTTTAAATTTTTTACTCAGTCCAGAAAGTGATATACTTAGTAATAAACTTAAAATCCGACCTAGTCAAGTAATGATAACAAAAAACAAATTAATAAGATTCGTTTTTATTCTAAGAATGTTTTGTATATAATAAATTGATGAACGCTTTCAGTATTTCAAATTCAAACAAAGAATTGTATTATATTTTATTGTTAACTAAAATCTTGAATGTAAGTATCTTATTGAGAAATCACATATATTATATAATTTGTCAATATACTGGAAATAAAATTGATAAATTTGATATTATTTTCAAGTGGTTGAGGCATTGAAATAATTTCTTATCACTACGTTTTTTTTATGCTTTCGATAATTGATTATAATAGGTATATGTCGATCTTTACTTGTAGTAGACATCGTATTTTATGAAGTTGATATTGAGCAAAGCATACCCATCTCTCGAACCGTTTGGACGTGTTTACATCTTCAACTAAGAACATAATTTTTGCTAACAGAGATTCCTCATTAACGCAGTAAGTTCAAACGAAATTTTCATAAAGTTCACATTGTTGTTTTCATTAACTTTATATAAATACAATTTCATATCAGTTTTCGACTTTGTTCGTAAAAGTAATTCGCACATACTATGATAAGGAAAGTTAAGAAGTCGCTGTAATTAAATGGATTAACCGTGATTTTTTTGGATATTTACTTGTAGTAGACATCACATTTTATGAAGTGCATATTGAGCAAAGCATACGCATCTCTCGAACCGTTTGGACGTGTTTACATCTTCAACTAAGAACATAATTTTTGCTAACAGAGATTCTTCATTAACGCAGTAAGTTCAAACGAAATTTTCATAAAGTTCGCATTGTTGTTTTCATTAACTTTATATCAATACAATTTCATATCAGTTTTCGACTTTATTCGTAAAAGTAATTCGCACATACTGTGATAAGGAAAGTTGAGAAGTCGTCGTAATAAAATGGTTTAACCGTGCTTTTTTTTAAATTCATCATTCTATGATACACTTACAGTTGAAATACAATATCGGTAGGCGTTTGTTAGTCATGCGTTGTTATAATACAAAATATGTAAGCACTTATATTTTCAGCTTAGTGGATGCATTTAGTTCTCTGGTTTGCATCAACGTTGTTAGTTCGGGTTTATGTAACAAACACTTCGCGAGTCGAGTGAGGGATACCATCTAGTCGTTAGATGTTTTGGTGCGTCCAACTATCAATTCGTATGACCTATGGAAAGGTTTATTTTGATTAACTCTTTCGAAACGATTTTGAATTTACAACAAACAAACAAACTGGTAATTGATAAAAATAAATCGCGCATGGGATATTTATATAGCAGGCATGTAAATAATTTCTGATAACTTCTACATTAATTTACTTGAAGAAATAACAGCTTTTGTTACCGTTAACTAACGATAACCTTATTTCCTCTATTCATTGTATTTATTATCTAAAATAGACTTAAAAATGTAATTTAATGGTTTTATATCACAAAAGAATTATGTAATATATATTTTTTTATTTATCATTTGTATTTAGTAAATTGTGATAAACACATGTACAGATATTTAAACACATTTGGATGGATTTTGTTGGACTTGCACATTATTTCAAATATTTATTTTTTTTGTTCAGAAAATTATGAAATGTTTGTGCAAAAACCATGTGCTTATTGTTACTACATACCATTATTATCTTTAAAAAAGTAATATTTATTTTATGTAATACGAATAGTAACAAAATCAGTGCGATTGACTGATTTCCCTACAGAAGTGACTCATGTAGGTTATTGTGAAAGCATATAAACATTATACATTTCCTATTTCATTTTTGTATATAAATATCTAATCGATTGCAAAATGTATTTCAGTATATGTGCAAGGATTAACAAATATTTATTAACTTTATTTGAATGATTAGTTTGATACATCCTTTATTATTGTCTCTGATTCTTATTTTTTTAGCTTAATATTTCTCTAAAAATCCAAAATGTCTTTACATACAAGTGTAAATGGAACAAGTATCATAGAACATGCTTATTAAGAAGCAAAAAGTCCACTTTTTAATGATTTATTTTGTTCGAGTACTCTCTTTTAGTATATTTCGTCTATCTATTTGTACAGTTACAAATTGTCTTTCATTTAAGTGTTCAATAATCATTTGGTTACGTCAAGTGTGTTGTATAGAAATCCTGTCATGTATGAGTAGTGAGTTATTTATTAATGTACTTATTTATTGATTTTTAACAGCTATCAACAAGTTTGTGGGTGTAAAGAAAATGTAAAATAATATTAAAACAAGAGGACGAAGCCATGCTCAGAAGCCAAATGAACACAGTTCATACAACTCTTAGAATTGTAAGATTGCATGTCTTATGCAATATATGAACTAAATTATAAAAAAAATCAAGTTACATACATTTCTTTTCATAGATAATATTTTGGATTTAAGAAGTTTCATTGATTAATGTTCTTACACAAGAAATGCAATTTATTTATTGATATTGTAGCAGTTAAATTACCCAAGTCCAACTCCTGTTCTGCTGTTATCAGTTATGTTTATATACTTAGTACTTATCGTCAATCGATTTAACAACTTGAGATCGTATTTACACACTAATATCTCAGTTTATTTTATATGTAAAAAAAAAACTCTTGTATATATAGTTTGTTTCTATTTAGTATATAAGAAAATGATTTATGTACAGTAATTAACAAATATATAAACTAATTAATAATAATATAAGTATTTATACATGCTTAAAACATACAACAACTGCAGTCTTAAAACGAAATTATAATTGTTATTGATAGAAATTTAATAAATTCAATCGAATAAATATTTATAGATTTTTTTGTTTTTCGGTTATTATTGAGACATAAGCAGTTTAAAATAACTGTTTATATTTATAGATGACTTATATGTTGTTAAATACATGTTTACTTGTGATTGGTAATCGTGTTTTACCAAAATACACACACATAAATGTTATTTTCAACGAAACATAAAAATGTTACAGTCATAGCTGTAGTTGTTCTTGTTCAGTACTTAGATTTCCCCTAGCTGGAATTTAGTATTTACATATTCAGACTTTACATAATCATATAGTCATGCTTTCACTAGAATGACTTGTTTCGATTCGTCAAAGTTATTTGTTTTTTCTTTTACATTAACATTTAGTCCACGATGAAGAACTTTTTTTAATTTATAAAAGTCGCTGAGCGTTTAGATCGAATTTACAAAATGATTGGAAAGGAATGAAAGTAAATGTCTAATTTGAAATTGTATTGAACTGAAAAGAAGAATATACTGTGATTGTCTTAGAATTAAGTTTCGTATTGATAAATGTAGGTGATTATTTGATTTAGGCGTATTTCGTGATTCATATGGACTAGCTCATCAGAAATCTCTTTCACCCTCGATTTAGGAGGAGATTGGGGGACTGCATGCATCATTTCTACTGTTACGAAATTAATTCGGATTTCTTCAAATCGGTTATCGTTATCTTGTATTTGATAGTGGGAATAACGAATGTTTGTGATGATAGGTTACAGATTCTGGTGCAGAGTCATAATGTTAACTATGCCGACTTTGTTATTGATTCGAAGTTGTAGCAGCGTCGTGTCTACTCGTACTTTTCGCTTTTATTTTAGAGTTTTATTTCATGGGTAAAGTGTATTGTCCCAAATCATTATCATTGCCAGGTGTTTGCATAACAGATAAGTCGTGCGCTGCCTGGTAGAGTAGAGTAGAGTGTGCCTATGCGGGAATTGCGAGTCTTTCATATACATATATAGGTTCTAACGAAGTAGCAGTTTGTTGCAAGGCGCTTTGGGGGTCGGAGCAGTTTTCAGTTTCAGTTGGACGGACGGACGGACGGAGTGTGCGAGTTTTCCATCGCTGAAGGCGCGCAGCCGCGCGACTTTCCCGAATATGGATTTTCCTGAGGGATGCTGTCACAGAGTGTCCAGAGCATGGTTGCCTCCCGCACTATAGGGTAGCTACAATGTCGACGGTCGCCACCCCTTAAAAAAAACGCCGGTGAGTAACTTACGCTCTCGCAAGCTTCTGTTTACACCCGCCCTTCATAAATTCATAATTGTTTGTTTTCGCGTCCATAAAAGGAAAAATTCTCTCTCTCTACTTCTCTCTGATCCTTTAAGAATTGATTGGTACGGTAAACACGAATTTCCCACCCCTAAATCTATGCACGACGAGAAACGCTTTCAAACATCGCACGCACAAAATCCACATTTCTTTTCAAATCAGATTTATTTAAACTAATTTAAAGCTAGAAATTCATTAAAGCTATCATGCTGCAAATTATTTATATACTTACATTATTTGCAGCGTCATTCACCTTAAGAATTTCATCTGCATTGATTCATATTCACTTAAACTATTTAAACTAATTTAGAGCTACAAAGTAATTACAACAATCACACTGTAAATTGTTTATATATTTATATTATTTGCAGCCTCATTCACTCGGAAAATATTAACTACATTGATTCATCTAAAATTAAACTAAAAATTCTACACAACAATCACGCTCCAAACAGATTATATATTTATATTATTTGCAACATCATTCACCGTAAGAATTTCAACTTCGCTGATTCATCCTTAAACTAATTTACACCTAAAACTTAAATACAACATCCGCATTGCATATAATTTATATATTTATATTATTTACAATTTCAGTTGCATTGATTCATAAACTAAGTTTTAACTAGAATATTAAATATATTACAGCGTTTACATTTCTGAATCCTGAAAACTTTAATTTGTTTGAAGGAAATCCGTGTACAATACACAAAAAAATCAGACTGGAATAGATCCAAGCAGCGCAATGAAAACGACCAATGAAAGATTATTTAGGTAATTGTGATTCTTTTCCATTTATTTTCGTGCCGCATACGTTGAATCGATACGAAATTATTAATCATCCCAGCTTGAACCAATCATCTCGTATTTTTATTTTCATTCACTCTATATTTATAGACCGATATCTTATAGCGTGCTTCTGATTCAGTTACAATTTCTTTACTCTATTAATACCTTCTATACATTGTTTATTATCCAATTTAGCTTACATTATTATTCCAAATAAGAAAAACTATTAAATTATATTCTTGAGTCAATAACTCATGTGTTTTCATGTATTTTGTAGATTATTATTATTATTATTACTAATAATTAAAGAATTATCCATTATTCAGAAATATGCTAAGATATGCTGTATGGTAATGAAATTGCTTTATATGGAAAGTGGATCCGATAATCGTAAGAATTTCGAAACAAAATATGCGTTTGACACGACCTGCGGTCCCGGATTGTTTTGATTATTTTTTCTTTGGTTTTATTATATCCGCGGTAACAGTATTACGCTTATCGTCGAAAACGGGAACGTCTATCTAAGATTATAATATTGAATTATTTTCGTGAATAAAACTAAATGAAAACGCAGCTTCAGCTCTTTCACGTACAAACAAATACAAACATTTATGAAAATACGGTTGAAATGTAGGAAATTAGTTTAATATGATTATAATTTAAAAAAATTACTTTCCAAAAAAGTAAAGAGAAAAAAATAATAATTTATTGATCAAATATAAAGAAAACTACATTAGTAGAAAAGTACTATAATACACGTATTTAACATAGAAAAACTACGATAAATACCGATTATTCGTGTTAATTCGAGAACTTTTTAATTTGCTTTAAAAACTGTAATTTTGTATTGTTTTCCTTGTAAAAATATTTACTAAACTGCAGATTTGCATTAAAACTTAGACTAAGTAAACACTGCGACCATGGTTAACCCGAACCACGGTAAATTGAGACCCGGGTAATCGGCTTTATACTGCATTTGGATAAGTTTTGTTATTTTATGATCTTTGACAATTTCACATATAGGATTATTTCTGATAAAGTTATAGTTTTTTTCACATATTTTTTACAATGCTGTGCAAAGTTTCACCTTCAATTGAATGTACATTTATCTACAGAAATGCTTTATTCAATTTGGCCTGTATTCAACTTAAACAAACATAACTTTTAGCGTTTCGAACGTATTTATCTAACAAACTTTATAACCTACTTTTCAATTTACAAATAGCTTCAGGAAATGGATATGGACAGTAGCTTGTTTATAAAATGTATTAAATTACGTATACGAAAGCTCACAGCATTATCCTTAAAAATACAATATTAGTTTGAAATGCAAATTTTCAATCCACATACTTAATATATAAATGACAATGAATTGAATATTGATTCAGTAATAAAACATTAAGTTTCCTTGTTTTTACCTTTTCAAAATTATCTCATAATGCCAAGAGATTAATTTACTTTTATTTATGATGTTTTGATGGATCCTAACTTTGACGTCAAACAAATTCTGTTTATATGAAGAGCGGTAAAGTGCACAATTTCAGCATTACATATACTGTCTAGGCATTCTGTATAATACAATTAAAAATTGTCTAAACAATGTACAAAGTGATACATAATTACTTATACTTTGTCTCTGCCATGTATATTACATTTTGTACAAATATATTTTTTTTAATTAGAAAATGGTATTTATATAAAATAGATATTGCGTCATCAAGTCACTGAATTAGGCTAATGGAAAACAAAAATTTAATTAAATTATCGTTTCATTTTCGGTAGAATAATAAATGTTTTATAGAAGATTGAACAAGCTGTAGAAGGACAATCAAGTATATCAGATTCCACACTGTCAAAGTTGTCGACTGTTTATAAACAAAAGAAAAACCGTCTATTGTAGATTAACATCCTATTATTACTGATGTTTTATTTCATTTAGACTACATTCCGCTGAAATTCGAAATAGCTGTAACGTTGAAATGTTTATGTAAACTAATCTCGTCCGCTCACTGTTACGTACGAGTACGATGTATTTAATTAAATATAAATAGGTTCTCGTGAAATGACTCTTTCTTAAACATTTATAACACATTTCAGTTAATTGTATCTCAAGTATAATGGGAATATCGTAAATGAATGATCATGGGAATCGGTGCATGGGTAAATTGGAATTTCTTCTGCTCCTGGCGTGCATTATTCAGGCACTCGAAAATCAAATATTTATGCAACATATTAAAAAATACGAGTTGCTTTTCGCTCCACTCAACGTGTGGTGTGTTCTGCCCCTTGCTGTTGCCACTTAATATCGATCTTAACAGTTTTTAAACGTATTTTCGTGATGCTTAAATTGCTTCCAGATCCATTATTAATCGGATTCATAAACAGCGTTCCGCTGAAAATAGCTTATGTAAATATTGTTCGTTCAATTCTCGTACAATATTTACGTTTCGCAAACATTTATTTTTTTAATTACTGTTTTATGAATATGTTAATGAACCATTTGTTTCTGTTATGCTTTGACATCTCTTTCATCATCTGCATGCACATGCATCGAGTCTTGTAAAAATATTGCTAATAAGTATAAAATTGATAGTTCTATGAAGAAGCGAACAATAATATTTGGACCAAATAAAAATTAACAATACAACAAAAGTTGATGATAGGATTTCAGGTATCATAGATAATTATTGCACATAATCTTTCATATATAATACTAATAACAATTATTTGTTAAATGATAAAAAAAAGTTTAGTTTCAAAATATATTGTTCGTCTATGTTGATTCATGCATTGCATGTCGGTAATTCACAAATATAATTTAGAGTGTATTACTTTATAATGTAAATACGATATTTTTTTGTGAGTTTTTTTTTAATATAATTATTTATAGACGTTTTTAAATATATAATTTATGAAAAAAGTATAACGATCAAAATTAATTTGTATAACATTTCTTTGTTGTTTTATGACGGTATTACGATTAATCATTATTTCTAAAACTTTCTAACAAAGAAAAATATGGATAATAACATATAGCGGGGAATTATGCAATAGCAAATTACGAAAACAAACTAATATATCATGTTTTAGAAGTTGTTTAAGTTGAAAATGTATATACTTTGCTATAGTTTATGTATATGTAGATTGATAGTAAATGTTATGATTGACATTACAATTTTAATATTTTGAATAAAGAAGATAAGACTGATAACATTTTATGCAAACAAGTTGTGTACTGCTTAATTACACGTGCAGTTCTAATTATATTCATTATTTGAAAAATAAAAACATAGTTGCTTGTGCATATACGAAGGATAATCGTTATCTAAATGCAGGTAGATAAGACAACTAGTTACCTAATTGTTTCTTTGTGTATTACCCTAGCTGAAACTAATTAGAGAAAAAGTCAATCTATATGATAAAAAATATATATTTCTCTCTGAAATTGATATTCAGCACTAGTGATGTAACCTAATCTAGGAATTTTACAAAAATAATGTTCTTGATAAATCAGCTGAAGGAAGTTGATTTTTTTGTTGTTTGTAAGTATGTGAAGTTATAGATATTGTCCTGAATTTTAGAACATACACATCTCTTTAGGTGATTTTTTTTTCAAATTTGATTGTTGTGGTTTAATAATAGAAAACAATACCAAGAATGTATTATGTAAAATATTTATTATTAAATAGTTTCCTTGAATGGAATTCAGTTTAGTAAAATAAATATGCTAATTTTATTGCAAATAATATCTACAAAATTATCGCACTGAAAGTGTATATAAAAGTGGAAATAAAGTCGATTGTTGTTGTTTTTTTCAGAGAATGGGCTTGTCGTGATGCCACCACGTCTCTCCGTGCGCAGGTTCTTCCTGTGTTTAGTATGCTGCGGTGGAGTTCTGCTCCTGCTCGGAGCTTACCATCATCACAGCTACTTCCTGGGCATCGCGAATCCATCGCCGCAACAGCCGAGCTCCGCCGAAAATGTCCCTCCGCCAACATGGGAAGAGGTCACGGAGGTCGCCTATTTGCCCACGGAAAAGGAACTGCCAATTACATTCGACGGCCCCAAGAACTGGTACTTTTCCGGAGGATCCGAATACCCGGAGAAGAGTTCTTCTCCACCCAAGATCTTCCCCTACGATGATCCCAGCGACAGAGTTTCCGAGCAACTCATGTACATACCAGACGATTACGAAGGTGACATTCGATTCCTGTGTGTGCTTTTTTTCTTCAAAATAAAGTATTTTAGGATACGATAGTCCTGAGAAGGTAATATTAGCGTACAACGGCTTGGGTCAATGGGATAAGAAACCTGGAACCGGGGCATTTCATGGTTGCCCAGTGAATAGATGCTCGTTAACAGATGATAGGAATCGCGCCGGAGATGCAGATGCAATCATTTACAAAGATCACTTCACGCATCCCAGTGTGGCTCGACCTGCAAATCAGATCTGGATGCTCTACTTTCTCGAGTGTCCTTACCATACCCAAAGTGTGAAATATGCTGACTTATTTAACTGGACGGCTACATATAGAAGAGATAGTACGCTTGTAGCACCTTACGAACGATGGACATATTACGATCAGAAGGTTAGAAAACATTTTTCATATATTGAATATACAGTGAGCCTCTTATAACATAGTACATTTACAACATGGTTTAGCTTTAACACCTTATAGAATTATAGCCAATCTTCATAAAACTACCGTGTTATAAAGGAATACATGTATATATTTTATGTTTATTTATAACTATCATATTTGCATATAATAGATATAACTTATGTCAATAACCTTATATTTGGTGCAACAAACTTTATCAATAATATGCATAAATTTGCAAATATAATTTTCAGTTATTTTCGTTTTTATTTATATACATGCATATTTCAAGTTGTTCTTCTAAGTGCATATCCAAATATCTCAGTTTCGTCGATGTTAGCACTTTTTGTTTGTTAAACTTAGCTGTAGAACAAGAATACCGTTTCATGGTATACGTTATGTGTAAGTATAGTTGGAAATTATATACAATAATGATGGATATTTTGACCAGTCATGATTTCTATAGAAGAAACTTTAGACTCATTAGAAAAGCTCAAGTTTTTCTTTGTATGACATTATACGTGCTAGTGCTGATTATATGATTAATAAATAAGATTTTAAATTAGCTTATGTATTTTGTTTTAGATAAAACAAAGACCTCAAATGATGAATTATGCTGCGAATAAGACGAAGAAGGTTGCGTGGTTCGTTTCGAATTGCGGATCAAGGAACGGTAGATTGGCATATGCTAGGGAATTGGCGAAGTATATATCCGTGGACATCTATGGAACCTGCGGTCCTTTGCGTTGTCCTCGCCACGACAAGGCCTGCTTCGACATCCTCGATCGCGATTACAAATTCTACCTGGCTTTCGAGAACTCTAATTGCAAAGATTACATTACCGAGAAACTGTACGTGAACGGATTAGGGCACAACGTGCTGCCTATAGTCATGGGTGCAAGACCGGAGGACTACGAGCGAAGCGCTCCCGAAGGATCCTACATACACGTGGACGAATTCGCCGGTCCCGCAGAGCTGGCCGCGTACCTCCATCGTCTCGACAAGGACGATCGATTGTACAATTCGTATTTCAAATGGAAAGGAACCGGCGAATTTATAAACACGTTCTTCTGGTGTAGGCTGTGCGCCCTTATGCATGCACCTCTGCAGCATAAACATTTCGAGGATGTTAACGAGTGGTGGCGCGGACCTGGTGTCTGCACACCGAAATCCTGGCGAAATATGGATACATAATAGGAATATGTCGAACGCACACCACACGTTATTTATTTGTTAATAATTGTGATTATAATATTAGGACGACGGAAAGAAACATGAAGGATAAAACAAAGATTTGCGTGTACTACAGCAACAACATCAACAACAAGAAAAAAAATATCGGTTTCTATTTAGTACTTTTACATCGTGCTTTTGTCGGGGCACTCGTATGAAATGATATATTGTCTTCTGTGACTGACTTGAAATGTACATATTGCGAGGTATTAAAAGACTGTAAGATAGAAATAATTATTGATGTGTTTTATTATTAATAAATTTTTGTTCAGTTTTATTACATTCTTTTTAAGTTTTATTTTCGGCGTCTCATGACCTACTTGCAAAGGTCTAATCTAAACAAAGACTAACACAATTACGTCTATAAAATTTTAATCGATTACTTTTCTATTTTTAGAAATATAACAGAAAACAGAACAGCTCTGTGATTTATAGATTTATGGATTGATAATTTTCTTAATTACAAATTTTATTTTTGATTATCACAAAATCAAGTTTTGCATAAAAATAAACTTAGTAATGAAAGTCATTAAAGAGTTCTTTTTTTTGACTTGATTTGACAAATGTAGTATTTTTCAATCAAAATGCAAGAATTCTGGGAAAATGTTATATTACATACGACACAAGTTTTCCAATGAATTACTGATGAGTACCGAAGTACTACTTATTATATATTTAAATATTTAATTTAACGACAATTAGTGACCAATAAAATGAATAGTTACATGATTGCATATTTGTACAAACACATAAAATTATTGAGTATTTTATGAAAAAACATAGTTATATTATATTTCTTCTATCTTACGAAAGAAAAGCACATCTCAGAAAATAGGCTAAATTAATTGATCTTTATTATACAGTATAATAATTTGAGTAAAAAGTCAACTTTATAACAGTTAAAAGTAAGAACTTTCAAGCATATTATAACATGATTTAATATACATTATTAATACTCTCTTCTTGCAGTAGATTGATTATTCCGCTAACTTTTTGCTGCGATACTTTTAGTACTGTAACAAAGAAACACTTTGTGAATTCAGATACACTTGAGGGATTTTCACAGGGCTCTAGAAAACATTCCCTTTGCATACATCATTGTAGCGGAAATATTGAATAAAGCGATGCACAAATCGTTTCCTTCAACTTTAAGAAAATATTCTCCTTAGTTACTGTGTATAGATACTTGTTTATAATAAGTCTTTGATTTTATTAAACAGTAGATGAATCATGAAAATTATGTTTTAAAACAAAATTAGTAAACAGAAATTTGTATATATGGATTTGTATAATTACAAAATGAAACATTTATTTTTGGATAGAAACAAACATCAGTTTGGTTTACAAGACGTTGAAGATAATTTTTAAGTCGAATTTGTTATAGTACCAATATTATTTTGAAAAATGAAAAAAACTAGGATCAATATTCTGATCCTCATGATTCAATAATTGACGAAAGTGTTTTGTTAATAAATAAGAAAGAGTATTTTTAATACATATGTAAGTTTACTTCTGACGCGTTCATATTTAGTGCTTGACTTTAAGTTTTATTGGCAAAGTTTTATTTTGTTTAACTGGAACGTTTTCTTCAAAAGCTGACATGTTGAGGAGGTGAGTTGTTTTAGGCCACATGCACATTTACGTTGGTAAGATTCAAGCTGAAGATTACGTGATTAGGTGCAAAAGTAGTAAATGGGGTTCTTAGGGTCACGCCAACTAGGTAGTCCTACATGTTATATCACGCCATCACGTGACATATCAACAGCTGATATGTTAGGTTCATCAGAGGATAAAGCAAAACTACTGTTTGGTATCGTTTTACATAAATATTTATATTTTAATCGAATTCCTAATATTTTCTAAATTTTTAACTATATTTTGTAAATAACAAAGATGGAAATTTGGAGAATATTATAATAATTAGAAGAACTATAACATATTAATTGGATTTATTTTTGAAGATAATCTGCATTATATTTATAATAGATACATTTCTAAATATTATGTACAAAAGTTATTATCATACATTATTTACATTTCATCTTTAAATAAAAGTACGTCTATGTATCTACAAAGGAAAAAAAAAACTTAAACCAAACGCATGATGGGTTCAAGTGATTCGAACCATTCACAATTACAACAAACTGGAGACAAAACGCAATACATTATTATTATTAGTAAACAGAAAATAAATAAATACAAGCTTGACCCATGAATCGTTGTATTTGACTATCCGTATTCCGAGATTGGTGGACACCCTCAAAGTTCATGCGAACATTCGGAGCTCGGTTCGTTATGCAAAATGGTCACTGTAGTAGCGTTGTTCTTGATCGTGGATCTCGTCGAAGCGTGCCTTTGTATTCCTCCTTGTAAACCAATCATATTTTGATTCCTATGACTGGGTTGTCTTCTTCCATGGTGCGAACAAAGAAGTATCTCTCGCATACCTCTACAACAATCATCGAAGTTATAGAAAGTTAAAAAAGAAGGAATTGTGTGATTACTGTTTCTTCTGGTATAAAATGTTTATGGTAGTTGATAAGTAAATTAGGTGTAATGCTGAAACACTTACCGTCTGAAATTCCTGGAGAGGAAGGCATAGAGTAATGGATTAACGCCAGAATTGAAGTAGGTCACGAGGAAAGTGAGTGGCGTGAGGAGAGTGGAAAATGTGTCGTCGCCCTGATAAGAATTGGACCAATACTGCCACATTTTTCGGGCATGCAAAGGGAGGTTGCACAAAGCGAACGTCAAGACCACTATGATCAGCATTCTGATTACGCCTCGTCTCGCCCTCAGGACGTTCTGACTGGAGCTCGGATTGCTCAGCAAGGGATTCTGCAACATCTTCGAATCACCATTGGTCACCTTCAAGCAAAACATGTGAATTACGTCACGCGCAGACAGACGGAAATAAGAAAGCCATTGATATTATTCCAACGAATCGTAATTGTAAAGCTTATATAACAACGTTCATACACTTTCAGACTGCGAGATTTTATTAATATCCAAGATGACGGTGTAACAAAAATCGGTCGTAAAGCCGTGTGATTAATGTTACAAGCACGGTCTGCGCTGAAATTTGTTACGAAACTTACTTTTTTTTTACGACAGAGTAAAGAAAATTCACAGAAAACAAACACCGGGTAAAAAAAAGTGAAATAAAGAAAAGCAAATATTCCTGTCGACATATAGCAATATATGAAATGTCTATTTAATTATTTCATCAATAATGAAGAAAGTTATTGAAGGGAAACTTTCACATTTAAAATACAATTTAAATATTTTTCTGATTCCATTGATGTGTGTTAATTTATACCATTCATAGCAAAAAGTATATTAATTTGCACATCATAATGCCTTTGCACAACATGAAACAAATACTTAACAGATTTTATCAATTTATTTATATACACCATTAACCTTCTAGTCTCTTCATATATTTTGAGGAATTTTAAAATAAAAAACTTTTTTCCTATTTTATTTAAATATAAATAATTTTAAATGTTTCTATTAAATTTGTAATAGATACTGATAATGTTTACAACAATTTGTATGAAGATTTGCATATTTTAACATGCAATATTTGCATATTTTAACCGTGATGAGGCTGCAATCGAGGTTTTTTGATGCGAACCAGGATTACCAAAATTTGTGATATATTACAGAGTACTGCAGTGACTGCATATATGGTTTACAAGCACACAAAATATCATCAACTTATTATTTTGACATTAACATTGAAAATAATAAAAAAATGATGGAAGTTTTTGTATTAGGTATTGTTTTGTATTTGCATTGTATATCGATTTTATAATTTTATTTTGTACAATAAACTTCAACGTCACGTCAAAATATAGTGTTTTATACGCTTATATTTACAATTGTAGCAAACGTCAATGTATTTTATTTTTCAATATGAGTGTCAAAATAATACTAAAGTATTGTATTTATTGGATATTTGAAAGAAAGTTCATTTCAACTATATACAAAGAAAACTATCATAATTCTAGTAATATTTGTATTTAAATATATTTATTAGCCACAAATTGGGCCAAGTGGTTATCGACCGACGTATTTCCAAATAATATTTGCTGTGAATTTATATCAAATTTCACGTAACGTGACGTGACGTTTGAAATTCCGTGTGCAAATAGGTCCGTGTCGAGAAAATTATACAGCCAGAATGTTTCATGTGAACTATATGCAATATTATTAATTGCTCTATAACATATGCAATTTGAACTAATTATTCGCTACAGTTTTATAAGCGCTATGAATCAAACACGAATACCAATTATGTACAAAAAAAATACAACGTGTTTATTTACATTTATAATAAATAAATTTCGTCAACAATTCAAGTTTTACATGATTACATTTTTTCCCTTTATACTTTTTATAAATAAATGAAATTTTTGAATCACAAAACGTAATCAAACAGAACAGTTCCAATCTTATTACATTTCTCAATTGTCCACAGCTCACTTGACTTTAAATAATAATAAATTGAAAAAAAAAACAGTGAATCTCATGTAAATTGGAATATTTCTAGTTGTCTGTCTCAATCTTACAAGATTTATTTTATTTATCTAAATTCTTTCAAGATTTACGTTTGTAAATATATTGAGGCTATTGATTTATTTAGATTTGTAACAAATTGTCTTTTAGATAAGATTCTTTTGTCTCATCGAGCACTTTAACCTATAGTTAAACTTATGCGGAACTTAAATTATGATGATGTTATAATTTTGATATGAACTTTGACTTCTTTGTAACATAATTTAATTAATCAACGGTTATACAACGGTTGTAATTCACTGCTTCATAGAATTGATTACTTACCTTATTTCCATCAACGTGATTTTTGTACCTGCTCGATTGACGTCTGCATAATGTCTGATTTGTTGAATTGGCGTTAGCGTTTAGCTGCTTTTCCAATTGTCTGGAACTTTTCCATAGTCTAACTGCAATCTTTGTGTATAATACCTGAGAAAATTTTAATTTGCAATTATTAATTATATTCATAATGTTAAATATACATTTCTAATAATATTGTATAAATTTGTTTAAATTTTATATTTGTTAATAATTGATCGTTAACTTGCCCATACGTCTAGAGTTTAGTGTACAATTTTTACATTTTTACGCTTTCATTATTACTAAAGTTTGAAATATATATTGTAAAACGTTCGAAAACTAGTTAATATTCAATGATGAATCAAAATCGACAGAATTTATAGAAGTATTGAATTGGGAGAATCAAAAAATGAAGCTATTTACTGTAAATTCTTTGGAATTGTGAAGATTGAGTCAAATTTTACTCCTCCCTGTACCACTAAACAAGTACTGAATGTTGACTTTTTCAATTTTGTAATTCACAGAATGAATTATAACAATTATTCAATTGTATCAAAATTTTGTTGCAATAAGGTTTTGCTGGTCAATCTAGAGCATTATAAATAGATTAAGCGTTGAATGTAAATGTCATTTTGACCTAAATGAACACTAGTATGCTGCACAATAAATTACCTACCCTGAGAGATTTATCTTGCGCATCACGTTCTCCTCGAGAAGAAGATTCCTTTCTGATAACAAACGATTTCCGTACTCTTTTTTTTTAAAGCTCTTAAGAGGAGCACCCGAAGTGGCGGGTAATTTATACCCCGAATATATTTTATACCATAATTACGAACGTAATTTCAGGCATTTGTCCTATTCCATTGATAACATTTTGATGAAAATTCTTGTTGCGTTTAATTGTAGGCAAACTACACTCAAATTAAGTGTCGAAGTTGAAAGGTCTTCGGGGAAACTCACCGTCATTATTAACAAAGGATTGACGTAGAGGAAAACGAAATTGATGATGTCGAACAGTTCGGAATTGTATTTGCTCCTGTTGGGGGCGCAGAAGATCTCCGTCCTTCCGTTGTCCATGTAGTTGGACACGGTGTTGAACCAGAAGAATTTTGGTGCGCTGTACAGAGCGCTGTTTATCCAGACGGCAAGGATCACCAGCTGCAACATAAAACATTTGCATACGTTTTATATTCTGAAAATACACGGAATGCGGTGCGTCACGTAATGATTTCCACGACCTTTTGTATTCCCGCACATTTTTTTTTATATAACTTTTTCCGGCCTCAGGGGAATTAGAGTGAGTGGTCCTGCCTCGACCACCTGTCCATCCGCAAACGGCACAAGTGCTTTAATTAAAGCTTCCTGACTCCTTGAATAATAATAGGCGCGTTCCGATGGAAATAAAATGAGAGTCCGTGTGTGTGCGTGAGAGAAGAGTGGAAATGAGTTTGGATTAAGCTGTAATGTCTATGTGCTATTCGAATGGTCTTTCGGGATTGGGTGTAAGTCGTAAGCCATCTAATCTGGTACGGACGAGCGCACGGAAAGCCAGCTGACAATTGTAATCCGAATCCTCAGTTATTGGGTTATGGTCTTTGATTAAAAATCCTGGCAGCCTAAGCGCGTACACGATTACCGAACAAACATTTCCATCGTGCAGGTCGGATTTAATGATTTCAATTCCGGAGAAAATCACAGACCAATTACCGAAGAAACCCTATACACGCTCCTCTTCAAATAGACTAATTTGCTTATTGTATAGAACCAGATTTAACATTGTTTTTTTTTTCATAATTATAATAATTATATAACAAAATACAAAATTTGTTGTTGAATTTTTGTTAATTTATACCGGTAAATGGTTGTGTCTCTCATTTAACAATTAAGCATGAGATGTGATGAGCGCGAAGCTGAAGAGCTAAATGTCTCAAATTAATTGCTTGAAGATGGTATAATAGGCGTTGAAACGAGTAATTGCATTTGGCCATTAAATAGAAAAATGAAGGAAAGCCAATCTAAATTTCTAGTTAATTATCACATACTATACAAATTTTGCTTGCTAACAAGTAGTAGTATTATCACATTTAATTGCCAATTAAAAATACCGGTTTTTATTTAAAATATTTAGCATTTACAGTTAATTTGCCAAAGTTAATCGTTCATTATATAAACATTACGAGAACTATGAGAATCTATAGTAAATCAAATATGGAAATAATTTTTAAAAAAAGCAGTGATTTGACAAATTGTCAAAAATTGTTGAAAATTAATAAAACTGATTTCGTTTCAGTGAAAAACCTTGTTTTTTTTTTACAATTTATATAATAGTTAAACCGATTAATTAATATTATTTAGTTAAGACCTATATTTGAAACTGAATTATTGTGATTTATATGTGAAGAAAAATAGAATTGTTAAAATCATATTTTCGTTCAGTTTGATGTAATATATATAATCTATAAAAATAGCATGAAATATGTAAGATGTCAATATTCAATTCCACAAATAGTGATGTGATTTGTCACATTTCAATTTGAAACCGCGTATCGCCTTGGGAATGCTCCAAGGTCGGTAATAAATTAAGTTCGAGAGTTCCATAAAATCGATATGTCCACAAAAGACATTCAGGAAAGTAAGCAGAAATGATAGGAACACATTAATTAATCTCCGGCCACAGCACAAATCGAATGTATTGTTTGCTCGAATTGTCATTTCACGTTGAAAAATCAGTTAAACACTGTATTTTTTAGCGTGTGTCTGTGTTCGAGCGGACTTTGTGGTTTCATGTCGGAATGCAGGTATTGTTTGCACGTAAACATGGAACTATAATCATCGAAATGGGATCAACTGTGATGTTATGTTAATAACACACTGCGGTTTCAATTTTATGTAGAAAGTGGTACTTGTGAAAAGTAACGATGCGAATGCCCTTCATTTGTAAGGTGAACGCGCCGGGCTCATATTAACATTTTCATAATATGTTAAATTTAGCTTCGGCCAGAGAGTGGATTGGTCTGTAGGGTATCGTTGAATATTTATGATTCATAAAATTACAATTAGTTTAAATGCTCCATACATTTGGAAATTTTGCACTTGGGCAAACAATAATAAATAGTAATATTAATACTACTGTTTATTGCAAAAATATAAAATATATACGTTTGAAAATTAGGTCAATACTATTTATTTCTATTTCATACAATAATAACTCGCATAGTATGAGTTAAAGATTGAAACCGGACTAATCGAGGATTTTAAAGCCGCATAAAGATAAACAGCCCAAATAGAGACTTGACTTGAACAATAATTGTTCTAAACATGTGTGTAGTAATTTCTGAGAATTTATTTTGCTGTAATAAAATTAACTTCGTTTTGAAATTTATCTGGACTATGAGAGATAATTATATATATTAGATAATTTATGAAAGTAATTGCAGAAAAAATAATTTTGCAAGGAGATATTGACAATAGTTTTTATTTTAGATATATTATATTGCAAAAGTTGAAGATAATCAAAATATAATTGGATGAGTTAGAAATGAGGAAATGACGAGTTGAGTGCGTTTGCAGATGTTGGTCATAATCTTTAATTGTTTTATTTATCGTGTCGTTAAACAGGGTAATGAAGATTATCTTATACGGAATTTCACTATTCTGCGGCGTAGATTAATCCTCTACAGCTGGTGAGCATTTGCTGTTGGACACATCCGAGCGATTACGACTATTCAAACCGACTTGCCACATCCGTTAGAAATTCAATAATATTCTATTTAATCTTCCATTTCATACATAAATATTTATAGATTTTAGATTAAGCATTGATATCGTTTTTTATTTCTGGTGCTAAATTAGTATTCTGTCTCTCAGTAAAACATTAAATAAAAGTTCATGATTGAATAATATTTGAAATAAATTACTTCATTGATACTACAAATCCGACTAACTTTGATCCAATCATATGTGCTCTAGATTATAGACTATATCAATTTAGATTATTACAATTACAAAATGAATACAAAAAAAGATTTTATGCAATTTTTCATAAAAATATCTCTAATTTAAACACGGTATTTCTTTAATTATAAAACGCATCATTTTTAGAAAAAAATGTGGTCTAAAATTTAAGGTGCGTCTTATATTACCAATAAACTATATATATATATCTAGATTTTTATATTATTATTTTCTAGAATTTTAAAAAATTGATAAAAATTGTAATATATTCTCTTAGTGCGGATTTACTGTAAAATCCGCACAATGAGAGTACGATTTCTGAGAACGTTGTAAAAATTTGAAATCAATTTAAATTTCTAAAAAAATACACAAAATTATTATTTTTATACACACATTAGCCTTTGTTAATTTTTTTGTGGTTTTGAAGTCCTCGTATAGTCCGCTGTATATTATTATGTGTATCAACAAATTATTGTTAAAAACAGATCTTATTAATATCAATTTTGCATTTAATTAAATATCATCATCATTGACTGCGTTACAAATTTGAATCATATGTTTTTCTATGAAAAGAAACCCACGAGGCACATATATATCATTTGAAACAGCAAACGCATCGAAAACCCATTATCAGGATTTCAGTTAGAAGATAACAGCAATATCGTCGCTGGAAATGAAACATGACAATTATTATTCATGAAATGTTTCCAGTTGATGGTTAATGTATGTAATGCTACAACTAATATTATTATTTACCGTCGAAAGATAAATCGAACCCGACGCATCCGCAAATAAATTTCAACGAATTGAATACTGATTATTAATCAATAGTCGAAACATGTTCGTAGATTTAAGTCAATACTCGGAGTTGCGATCGGCTTAAAGAAATAACCACTTTAGTGCTTTGATTACATAGAGTGCAATATCTAAACTACGCTGAACGTGGTCTTTCTGAAATTATTATAATTCCTGAAAATTGAAGAAAATTTATATTTTCACTCTAGTGATATTTACCCAGAGAAATAACCAATAACTAGGGTGATTATAGAAATACAAATAAATACATTAAATAATTAAGTTTTATAATTAATATTAATTGATATTTATTTGTCTCAATATGTAAATTATTTTTATTAAATTATCCATTTATGAAACTTAATTAAAATAATATATTTATAATTGATATAAATAATTAACAAAAATATATTTTGATAAAATTATTGTTGTTATTGCATTAAAAATATGATGAATATTATTAAACTCTTACCCTTAATCGTCTCGGTGTTAAAATCTGTTTGCAGGTGATCGGATAGATGATGGCGAAGTATCGTTCGGTGCAGATGACGACCAGTATAAAGATGCTTGCCGTGTAGCTCAAAGACGTGATGAAGTGATACATCTTACAGAGAAAGTCGCCCAGGATCCAGCTGAAAACGAGGAAATGAAATCGTTTATGAATAATTCAGGTGCCCGGGCAATTTGGAAATTAAACGAGTTACAAAAGCAATTTCCGCCCTTTCGACGCGGGAATGCAAAAATAAAAAATTAAAATTCGGCCTACGTCTTTATTAAGTTCGCAACATTAGCGGGTCATCCTCGCGGTAGATGCATATTTAAACTGGTTATAGAATTCGGATAAGTGAGGAAGTTTCACTTACATTTTTAAAAGCAATCTTAAAGTTAGAACTTACCTAAAGATATTTCAATTTTCTATCAAATAAAAATTCAAATTTATTAATTTGTTATATACACATGTTTTTATATCTTATTTGTATCAATCTTATAGTTAAAACTTATGTAAAGATATTTCAACTTTAATTTAATTAAGAGCAGTGCGGTTCCGGACTGATTGAAACCGAACTAATCGAGGAAATAAATGCAAAAAAAGAGACTTGATTGCATTCATTTTCATATAAAAAAATGAATATTCTTAATTTGCTTAATTGAAATTTATGGTAGTGAATAAGAAAATGTTATTTGTTAAATCTTGTTTGCAAACTTATATATAATGTAATAGGTATTCAAGACCTTAATTAATCCTACGAATTTACTGATCTTCGAATGGTGCTCTCCTCATATAACAGTCGTCCATTTAAGCTTATTTTATTGAATCAAACGTCCCACTCGGGACTTCTAAGCATTACCAATGGTCGTCTATATTGAGAGTTAAAAGGAAGGATTCGACCTGAATCGGTAATTTAATGGCACTATGGTTATAGAACATGATAGGGTCGCACAACTTGGCTCTAAAAGTCAATTAGTTTTGGAGATTTTGCACCAAATCGATTGGAATCTTAAGTTAAATGAATACTTTAAGTACTTTGTGCACCTACATTATTAATAATTCCATTAAATCTATTAGAAAATTGGATTTTTTTTTAATAAAATAGAAGTAAATTTTACATTGAAATATTGCCAAGATCAAAAGGATTAGCGTTCATTAAATACTTTTTTTTAATTAATTTATTATATTGTAAATTGTAATTTTATCAATTTCATCTCAGGAAACAATAGATTTGTTCGCATTTCACTTAAAAAATATTAATAATTTTATATGTAATGTGATGATTAAAGGCTATTGCATGTTAAATTTGTTAAATAATTTAAATTACTATAGAATTAAATGTATTGATAATATCTCGAAAAAATAATATTAATGTGACTATTTCGTGCACGATTGTAGCTGACCAGCAATCATTTGATCAATCGGCTGCTACATTTTTTTTTATTACTATTAAGTTAATTCAGTAAAGATGGATATGTTTGTAACATTAATCTAAATTATTTTGTTAATAACAATTAAGATATAGTTTACAAATTTCATACTAAATGTAAATTTATTGAATGTTTTTGCATCCAAAAAACTTCAGTTACATATACCTATATTTTCCAACGTTTTTAAAGGAGGACTACAATTTTTTCAGTGAAATTTTTTGAATATTAAAAATTATGTGTATATTGCATAAATTAGGGCATGGCACTAAAGAGGTTGGGAAACACTGCTGTATACAGTCAAATTAACGAATATGACAGGTTCCACGAAATTAATTCGTTAAGCGAAACTTTGTTTTCAGAGGTAAATGATATAACCAGATTGGAGATATGTTCTTTCGTAATGGAAATGAAAACCTTGTTTTTCAAAGAAAGAAAAGTTTTATTAAATTAACAGTCGACTTTCAGAAACTTTTTTAATTTCATTTTTATTTTCATTCTTAAGGTTGTATAAGGAGATTTCCACTGAAAAACAATAATCTTCTTCATACAATACTTTTCTAAAAACCTTTTCAGCGACATTTTCGAATCATATTGGTTGAGTCAACTTTCAATGTTTTCTGACTTTGTTATATCGAAGCTTCGTTGTCAGAGTAACGATACCTCTGACAACGAACCCAGGTATGAAAATTAAGTTAATTATGTTTATAGGAATAAGTGTTCATTACATACAATTATATTCTTTCAATAAACATAAATTACAGATGAAAATGTAAATTGTTTTGAAATTTGTATCAATTTAAAAGAAAGTTGTAGGAAAGTTAGTCAAGTAGTAATTAAGTAAGTAATGAAAAATTTAATGTTTGCAATATAAATGTAACATATTTTATGAACATAAAAGAAAAAAATAACAACTTTTAACAACATTTCGATATATCCATTTAGATAAGTAGACGCATGAAACTTGTTTTATACATTTTTATTCAAATTTTATATTCGCCGTTTTGGGATATATATTTTGAAGGGTCCTATTTCGAAAGCTCAATTCAATACGTGGTTCGCACTGATTCGCCTCTTTCGCTAAATATATATATTCTACTCGGGGATACTTTATTGACGTTCTCATTGCAATTTTCTTAATTCTCCGGATTACTACCGCATTTTATTCTGCATTTCGGTAGTTTGCACTTTGATTGCCCAATAAAATTGATGTTCGCATCTGCCAACTAGAAGATTTCATAAAATTAATCGAAATTTTAATTGGAAAATCAATTAATAATTTCCATATTTTTTGGATCGTAAAATCAATTTAAAATTGGATTGTTCAATAATTATTATACTATGAGAATATTGTAATAAAGCTTACAATTTTATTTTCAATGAAAAAAACTATATTTATATTACGTTTTTAGTTCATATTTACTGTAAAAAATAATATTTCCAATTAGTCGTTTCCAAATGTATAGAATCGTAATTGGCGTTGCTGAATTAGGTGGTATTGTTTTCTGTTGAAAATGTATTTCTCTCAATGGTTGCGTAATAAATTACTGGACATTAGGTCATGTTAATGGAGAGGATGCGGCGGACAATTACAGCTCAAATCATCGAGGGACAAAGGGTTTAACAAGCTGTGTGAGATCTAGCATTATTTTGAAGTAGCAAGGGTTGTTGGCTTTGCTAACCGAGACTCGCGAATTGTTCAAATGCAGATTGATAGAACTTGACGTAAGTATTAATAGTTAAACCGTTGCGCATGCAAATCAGTTATTATACAAATACATATTGTAGTATATATTATGGAAAGTCATGATAAATCTTAAAAATAAAGTTATACTGTTTTTTTTAAAGAAAAACTTCATTTTAAATAGAGGTCGGCAAAATGCGGACCCGGAGCCTCACCCGGCACTATTGATTAAAAATTGCATTTCCACTTACAACAAATAATTTTACAAGCAAAAGAAAGGATAATAGACTAAAAATTATCATCTCAAAAGGCGAATTTAGTTCTGTGGTTAAGGTGACCATGATTATAGGACTATGTAGATAGGCAATATCATAAAAATGTGCTACAACCATATTGAGTTATTTTTCTTTCGTATTTTTGTTAGGGAACTGAATGATTCGGACACCGGAATAATTTGAGAACAAAGTCAATAGTCAACGGAATAAAATAATATTGTATGTAAATGGATGGAAATTGCGAATTTCCATTGTGTCAAAGTCGTTGCGTTTTCTTTGGATTCTATTCAATTAATTCAGAATACCCAATAATATCATATATTTTGTATGCATTGTCGAAACTATTCAATGAACGTATGTATACAAATGAAACAATTAAAATCAAAATTTAATTACCAATTAAAATTTTCATTCTCATATATTTCTAGTGGAAATGCTTTACACTCGCACGAAATTCAATTGAAAATATTGTATAAACGTTTTATTTATACAATATAATATTTACATCCATTTGTTTTATGGAATTTATGTTTAGACTTTAATATATTTGTTAACATTATGCATTTATTTTAATTGATTTCATTTTTATTTTGTTTTAGTAAGTTGTAGAAAGTAATAATTTGATCTATTTTTCTTTATTATTTAACATATTTATATTATTCACTTATAGTTAAAAAAATATAGTTAATAATATAAATGTACAGACATAAATATAATAAATAATGCATGTAAACTATGTTTCATTGTTTGCATATGTTTTCACGTATCTATGGATTATTCTTGTTGACGTTTGCATATAGTGAATAATAAATGGAGTGAGTGAAGCGGTACACAAATATTGACGATGTTTAAAATAAAGTAATGTTTGTGATCATTTCTCTAGCACGAAATCGATACCAACAGTTTCCCATCAATTAAATGTTACATTTAACTATGATCTTATCACGAAAGATTTCGGTCCATTTAATTTTTACAATTCTATATTAGATATTTGCGAAGGAAGAGCAAAGATTATACGTTAAATTTCAATCCATTTCACCTGAGATTTCTTACTGATGCTGTTCAATAATAAATGCAAGATCTGGGTGGGTACTGTAATGTAGTAATGTAGTGTATAGCAGGTGCTGCTTGAGTGTTTGGTATTCATGAAAATAGTAATTCCATTCCAAACGCTAAAAAAAAACAACAGACCAAAAGAAACGAAGACATTTCTCTACAATCTATTCAATTATTTGTTCGTTTGCAAATAAAATAATAAACTTTTGGCGCTGTTTGATTTTTAAATTACTCGTATTTTTATGTTATTAAATAACAGAGTTTGGAACATGTTTTGTAGCTTCCTGCAGCGTTATAACTATTACTATAGTCGTAAAAATTTTATACAACTTATTACGTGATAAAAAGACTGTTACTTCTTCAAAACGGTTATAAAATATCAAATTTCAAATACATGAATTTTAGCAGTCTATTATTTTTAGCTTTATAGTTCATTGAAGATTTATGAATGAAAATTTATTAAATGTGGTCACAATGTACTTATTTAGTTATTGATTAAAATGAGTTATAACCGAATAATAAGATGTATTTTTGTAACGCAATTATGAGCCGTACATGTTTGTCTTCCTCGCAAAAGGCAGACATAATTGAATTGCCCATGAAGACTAAATGAAAGGAAAATCAAGCAATAAATATACTTACTCGGTGATGAGGTAATTAAGGAGATTCTGGTAGACGCAGAATATGCCGACGCAAAAATCCGCCACGGCCAAATTGGCGAGGAAAAAGTTCGTGATTGACCTGAGTCGTCTGCTTAATGTCACAACCATTATTACCAAGAAATTACCTAAAACAAGAAACAAAAATGAAGAAACACAAGCAAACGAAGCGATTTATTAAAACTGTAAATTAAACATTATTGGATTTATTTATCGAGTTATATAAATTGCTTAAAACGAAAAAAAAGTTAAATGCACAAATGCATAGGATTTTGAGAGTAATGTTTCGTGTGATTTACGTGCGCCAGTTTGCGTCCTTATTTATTGTCGCCGCTTTCAACGGAGTGCTTGACTCTGACGTCCATAATGTATCTTTCGAAATTATACGACCTCACCTCTCTTAAACTAAATTAACTACTTTTTCATTACAAAACTTGGGTCATTTCATTAAAGAAACACTTTGCTGCGGCGGTGCATGTCTGTTACTGCAACGGAACTTGCTGAAATTATATAATGCATTATTCACACGACTCTGCTGAATTTCGTATTTACAGTTATGTAATTAAAAGTTTTATTTAACTTTTATTTTTAACAAAAATGAACTAATTTTTTTTAGAAAAACTTCTTTGTTTCTTTGCGCCGAGCAAATGGATTCATTCATAAATTACATAGCTATAAAAATACTATACTAAATTAATCAATAGTTAATTAATATGAAAACAAATATTTGTTAGTACTGCTTCGATCAGTGCGGATTCACTGTAGCGCGATTTTGAATTTGTGAAAACATAGTAAATTTTTATTCAAAATAAATTATTTCGTTATATAATAGTGACAAACATTAATGAAAGTGTATTCTAAGATTTTAACGAATCTTGTTAATTAATATATGCGATTATAAATGAATGTTAATTATTTCGTGGAAGATGATGAAAAACTTGTGATATTTGTCACATAAAATGGGGTTAATTTAAAATGGAAACGCTCTTATCTATATTCCATTTGATTTCCCTGTTGGTTTTAATAGTCTTTAGATGGGGGAGGATGTAATGCTCGGATTGGTTTTTGACAGCTTAATTAGTTAAATTAATTGATGAGCAGGAGTGCGCCAAATGACACGCCGATAAATGCACACAAAAAAAAAAGTAAAGAGAAATTCAGCTCAATTTTTTAATTTCTGCAAATGTTCCAAATGAAGATGGAAACTAATTGATTTTCTGCATTTTTTTGTCATTTAATCATATTTGATTTTTTTCAAGATAATTATATGACAGTGATGCATATGAAGCGAATAAGATGTCTTTTTTTCATTCTTAATTTTGAAACTTTTTTTTGAGGTCAACTCGTTTAAATATGAGATATTTTTCGTCCTTTTTTTATTAAATACTACAAAAGGATGCTAATATGTATGCTAATCTCATTAAATTAGCTGTAACGGAAATGGGAGCGATTTTTTTTTTATAGTCAGTGAAGAAATTAAAAACGCTTAAAACGTTTTGAGTATGATGAAAACACCACAGCTTGTTTTTCTTTAATTTTAATGAAAGTCACTCGCTCCGTCTTTTTTCTTTCCACCCGTTGCTTATGCTGATGATTGCGCACGGAAATAATTGCAGGCTTACTGCGGCTTATTAACATTTTTTCATTGCTTTCTATCCCATTTTTATTTGTCATGACTGAAATGGAAGTATTAACGTTACGAATGGAATTTATGTTTGCACATAAACGTGATGAGTAAAAATATTATGCAGATCAGTTTACCAACATGATAGATATAAATATTTGTTTTCCTGATAAAAAAAAAAGCAAAGACAATAAAGGTATTATGTAATATATAAATAAATAAATATGTATTAAAAAGTTTACAATCAAAGTTTTTTTTTTGAAGCAATGTAATAGAGAAATATTAAATTTATAGCTCTCATTAAACAATGAAACAAATTCACTTTAATAGCTAGATGTATTTTCCTTTTATGACTGAATTGGCGTAGTGCAATATTGCATATTTCAACAGAGTTTCATTACTTCGTGCATCCATAAAAAGAAGTATTTTTTTACTACAAATATGAAAATTAATTTATATAATAAAACATTTTTTTTGTTTAATTATTTTAGAGAAACATTGAATAATTCACACATATATAAGCTGTAAGTATTAGAGTTTTTGCTTCTCGGGAAACGGGAAAAAAGTTTTATATGTGACGAAAAGGGCGACTAATAACCCTAAGTTAAGTCGCCCTAACCACGTGCTAGTAGTCACAGGTACAAATAGGTAAAAATATGTGATAAAACTTGTAATTATAGCAAATTTTCGTGTCTAAACTTTGGAAACCGTTAGTCACGAAAGTTTAGAGAAAAATCGAGTTGTAAATTGGGCGTTTTCGATTGTGCCTATATGGATTCGCCGGGTAAATTTATTTATAAAGATAGAAATTGTTGTATTTTTGCGTTTTAATCACCTGCATGAACACCTGCGAAACATACAAGCAGTTGTGTTTTATTGAACACTATGTTTTTTTTCAAACTTCCCGAGAAATTTGTCCCGAAAATTCCCGGTTCAGAATTCTATAATTACAAAAATTGTCTGGAATGAATATCCACATCTAGGTCAGATCATAACATAACACTGAGTGTAGAAATTAAAATATTTTACATGTGGCTTTGCTTATTATTTTAATTATATAATTATCATCATCATCACTTCATTACGTTTGAAAATACTTGTGTAAATGAATATTACTAATTGCATTTTATAAACGTATGGATGCTACAGAGATGTTAGCTCAACTTAACGACACTCCAAAGAGGCAATTTAAAATTACTTTGCCGAAAATTAAGTTAAAGTTTGAATATTCAAAAGGACCATTAAAATGTATAAAATTAACTCCATTTTAATGAGTGCACTAATTAACCCGAACAACCTACTAGTATTTCAATTACATTTACAAATATACGAATAATAACAACGAAAGGGGATTTGGTTGTAACTCGATTAATTTATTAAAATATCAACGTTATTATGCGTATTTCTTTGCATCATTACAAAGCAAAAGTGATACTTCCACTGAGCAACTGCTGGCGCTGTGCAATAATAAAGTTTGTAGGATCTTTGTTGTACGCCCTTTTTTTTATATACAAGTTGTGTTTTGGTTTGCCCTATCGTGCAACCCTCGAGGGCACGAGACGCCCCACCCAGAATCGCGTAATCGGATTTTCTGCGGCCCGAGTAATTTTCATCCCCGGGAACTTTTGCTACCAAACATTCCCAATATTATCAACAAACCCTCTAAATATAAACCGAGAATACAACGTGATGACACTCGTAATGAAAGATCTTTGTGTGTTCTGGAAATAAAAGTATGTTATATAATTGGAACGTTCATAAAGCATGAATACATTAGCACTTTTTTTTTATATATTTATTTATTTTTTAATCCGCTTTAAAAGTTTTAATACCATTTAAAGTATGAATATTCAACAAAGTTTGCGCTTTTTATCATCGGAATTGTATGAAGATTTATATTGGTTTAGTGTGTGCTAATTTAAAGGTTTGCATGTGGAACGGAAAACTATTTATACTAAAAATTTAATTTAATTTTATAGCGAATTATATCGCGTGTAATCTGTGAAATATATTTCTGTTAGTATTAATGTGTTTAATAAAATTTTAACATAAAAAATGTATTTCGGTTGAAAAGGTTTCATTGCACATTAACCACGATGTTTACTACATCATTTTCTCCGAGAAATATTTGATAAAATAACCCTTAGGTTATAACAAAAAGAAGATGTTACCTTATTTTGTTTTTCATTTATTTTGATACCAAACAAGTTGTCATATAAAACAAGGGACAATATTGTATGATTGTATTGAAAATGCAATTTTTGCTAGTCTATAAACTAAATTTTTAGTAGAGGGAAAATCGGATTTTGACACATATCGTTTCCAGTATAAAATAGAAAAAGTTATTTGTTTTTCTTTATGGTTTTCTATGAAGTATTTTTTTTAAGTTTTATGTGATATTCTTTGTGGCGGAACTAGAATCCGCTGGAACCAGCAATGCGGGTCCAAATATAAATGTACGTCCATATAAAGGGAATTTATAAAAGATAGTAAAAAAATCCTTTAGTAAAATGAAATCCGTTAATATATTATTTTGAAAATAATTGCAATTAACAAATGTTATTGTTTAAATTTTAAATTCTGCCTCTGGTTATTCTAGAATTTACCTTTATGAGCAAAGAGCCATTTTTCTGTTCAACAGAGCCGCAGGTTTGTTTAGACGTTGGTCGATTTTATTTAGTTACATTTTTTTAATTTTATAATAAATTGGTTATAAGTATTAGTAAATATTCCTGATTTCCAAATTTTAGTTAATTTTCGAAAACAGGTTGTACAGAAAATTTGAGATTAGAAATGATCCTATGAATCACCCATTTAAATATTATCCTCAACACACCTTGCTTGACTTTCTCATGGTGTCATCAAGTACTATGAAATGTATGCTCATTAATAATAAGTTATCAATAAAGAATCTTTATCTAAAATTTATTGTTATTCAATTATTCTGCAAGTTGGTAATATAATTTTAGTCTAAAGAAATCCTAATCGTTTAGTCTTTTTACGGTCATGTTATGTGATTTATCGATTCGATTTAAAGCCTATTTTTTTTGCATGTACGATTTTTAGACGAGATATTAGATTCCTTTATGGCCTGTAAATCACACATTGGATTTGCCCCAATCCCAACCGACACATATTTATAGACGTATATCGGATTCAATGTAACATTAAGGGCACGTTTCAGGAAAAAAAAAGAGTTTTGTTAACTTGTTCGATAGGTAATGATCCATGAAACTATGTGATCCAAAAGTAATATTAAACTATGAATCTCTTTATGTAGTTTTTGAAGGGAGTGATAACAATAGGTCAGATGAAAGTAAGTAAATTAAAAATAAATGAAGATGAATTCAAAATTAAGTAATATTATGTTCTATATATGCTAAATTTGGTGCGTTATGGCAATCTTTCTAAAAAAATTATATAATATCCTAGTCACACTACTCTTGACGTAAATTTCGTTATGTAGATTATATAATTTGAATATTAATGGTCTTATCTTTTATG